CCATAAATGAAAATACAAACATTAGATAATCGAATATTATAACCACAAAAGTGTCTGAGTATTTGTAAATGAATAGTCTAATCTTCAACAATAAACATATTGTTTAGCACAATCACATGGCGCAGCTTGAAAATGAGGAATATATGTTGAATATTGTGTAAGAAAAAGAATAATATCTTAACAACAAGCTATATAACTAATCAAATGTTGATATTAGATGAAGTATTGCTAGTAATTCACCTAAGACAACTGGATCAATATCAGATCTATGACTAAGAAAATATTAAAAGAGTAAAATGTAAAATTTGAAACAGTAAAGTTTGCCTTGTGCTTCGAATAGTGCTTTAATAAAAGTAAAATGCATATTTTCATTAGATTTAACAAGAACCATGATAGATACTGATGATTCTTCGACTGCCATTGTTTGTTTTGATACTTTTTTCTGGTCGATTAATCTATTTAATAGAGAAGATTAAATAAAATATTTCTTATTTTATTACTAACAGCTGGTAATTGAAGTTTTGTTGTAGTATTAACAATAAATATAAATTGTCGTGTTTTAATTAATTGTTCAACACAAGCATATATTATTCAGACATAAGATCTGATTGACATTGAATACTAATAGAAACAAGTTGAGGATTTGTAGAATTTGTTTGTATTAATTGATTTATTATTTAAATTGATTCCGTTTGACATTGTTGATCATGACAAATAAGATGAGATAAATCATCTGTTTGTGTATCAATTGATGTTGCTGTTGTTGTTGTTGGTGGTGGCATTTGAAGACTTGGTAGATGAATTGAATCAAAGACATTTGTTAGAGGAGTTGGTAATGCTACTTGAGAAGGAAGAGCAAATGTAATACATAATGCTGTTGGAATTTTAACAGCTACAAACAAAATCTGTTTTTCTTCGTTTTTTTTTCAAGAATAATATGAAATTAATTGACGTGAATTACTCTGAGCTGATCCAACGACAACATCTTGTTTTCCATTGATTAATTGAGCAAGAATTGGTGATGATAATGTTGGTCGAATTTAATGATGAGAACGAAGACTTTGAATTTTTCCACCAATTCTTGAATTATGTTCATTAATTTTTTTTATAATCTTGTCGAATTCCTGAAAAAAATTCAATTCTTAAAAATAAAATAAAAAGAGAAAAAGATTAACCTAGTCCTTAAATATATAATTTTGATTGTTCAATAAGATGTGTTTCTTCATTTTCTTCATCTACAGTTATACAACCATCGGAACTTCTTCAGTTGAAGTTTTCCTTAAGATAAAATTCAATTATGAATCATAAGAATAACTATATTTAATTATATCAATGGATGTTTTTGTACTTCTTTTATTATTCAAAGGCACAATTCGCCGAATTTTTTTTTTTTAAATAGGTTCTTCCGATTGTTGTTGTTATTTTGAAAGAATTTTTTTTTGTTTGTTGATCATTTTCTTTTAATAAATCATCATGATTGGACATTGTTGACTTATAATCCAATGCTAATTCATTCAAATGTATATTTACGTCAAAATGCTTGTTGTTCTTGAATAAGTTATTAAGAAATAAATCAAATAATAAAGAATATTTGAAAAATATTTGTTTCTTTTGTTTCTTTTGTTTTTTTAATCATATTTAATTATTGACATTCTTCTAAACTTTATCGTAAATGTTCTTGAAGAATTAAAATAGATTGATCATCATCGACTCCATCCAATAAAGAATATTCAAGTAGTGGAGGAAATGAAGCAATTAATTAATGCTTGAACACTACTGGTAAACAAAACGATTTTTAATTACTATAAAAAGTTTTTTTTTCTATGTCTTATTTACTTGAATTCAATGAATTGAACTGGTTGTACATTTTGTTGTTGTTGGTTATCAATTTCACGCAAAGCCTCAACACGAGCTGTTTTTGTTGGAATTGGAGGAGGAAGAAGAGGAGGAGGTGATGGTAAAGCACGTGATATCATAATGGCATTTTGACGTTTCGCCGCTACTTTTCATTCCGAACATCCAATGTTGTAGTCCGTTCCGAACATCCGTGTTTCTTCAAAAAATCATCACTTTTAAGATAAAAATATCGGATGTTCGTAATAAGAAGAATACGGATGTTCGGAACGATTATCAGAAAAAAACCGGATGTTCGTAAAAATTTTTAACGGGTTTTCCGAACATCCGTTGTAGGACTAAAATGTCAATTCCGAACATCCGGTGTCACAGACGGATGTTCGGAATGATCGCGACGAACGTCTGGAGGCCATTTCTGATTTCTGATTGCTAGGCATTTTTGGAATGATGGAATTAGAAATAAAGTTTAATGATAATTATATTAATTCAAATTTCTATGTGCTGTCACAATTTGTAGAAATTCTGAAAATTTTTGAAATCTTAAAAATTTTTTAAAATTTAAAAATTTTGACAAGCAAGTTTCAAAATTTGTACTAATTTGATATTTGCCACTTTATGCAAGATTTTATTTTTAATCCTGATCTTGTTTGAAATTCTCTAATATATATACCGTCTCGACATATTTGATTTGAAAATCCATCTACAAATCAAACAATTTGACAGTCGAATCTTGTAAGATCAGTTTAAATCGTAAAAAAAATTGTTAGAGTAAAACTTTTATTTGTGAAAATATCATGGGTGAATACCTCCAATGTAGAGCAAAGTTTTAGTCCCACGGAGCAATTTTTGCTGTAAATGCATATCTCATAGATGAACACCTCTGTGTTCTGAACTTGAATACTGTTTTTGTAGTTCCAATTGCTTTTATAACCTGTCTTAGATAAACAAATGTGGAGTTCTATCTCTTTTTTTTTCACATTGTTGTTCATAACTAATGCACTAAAAATCGCTGTGCTTTGCTTTTTTACAATTGTACTCAAGAGTGAATCAATTATACATCGACGTCAGCTCAAATTTCAAGTCAAAACTCAATTAATAAATGTATTAGAGTCAAAACTATTTGATGTTTCTAATGAATCAAAAACAGCAAGACAAAGAGCCGGTTAGCTGCTTTTAAGATAGAGCGAAGGTTTTTGTTTTGTCGAGAAAGTTTTTCAATTCAGATAAATTTCAATGAAACAAGATAAACTAGAAGAAAATGATCTTAAAATACTTCAAAACCAGTAAAGAAGGTCATTTTTTGAAAGTTTACTTCATCCCAGTGAAAAATATTCATGCAATAATCACGCTTATTTTTGATTATAGACAAACAAGCTCAAGTTTTTGCTAGAAAATCACTTTTTTTCAAAAGTAATTCGACTAAAATTGATTTTAATTGAATAATCATTCGACACCATGATCCTTTTTTTTTTTGAAGATTATAATCGACTGTCAGATTTTTAATCAGATTTTTATTTATAATCGATTATAATTTTCAAAATGGATTATAATTTCAATCTCATCAAATCTGATTAAAGATTTTCAATTAATGATAATTAATTATTTGTGATTAAATCAGATTTATGTATATAATCAATTATAATTTTCAAAATCGATTAAAATCTCAAATTTCATCAATATGATTGAGGAATTTTAATCGATTTTAATCCCGATGACCATAAAACGTGTTTTGTGAAGCACGATCTAAAAGAAGTGTTGAAGTGTATTGGGGTAGAAATTTGCACCCCTCCCCTGCAGACCGTGACAAACGTAACGGTGGAAGGGTCACAGACTGTGACAGACGCAAATCAGAGAGACCATCATAGGTCGTGACAGACATCGAAGCAACGCCGTCTCTCTTCCCCCCAAATTACAGACCATGACAGGCACGTCGGTAAATTTTCTCTCGTTTAGGATAGGAGTAGTTCGATCGTGTTTTACATTTTAATCCTGCAGGGATTGACCTAAAAGCTTTTTCGCGAGTTTTAAGTTAGAAACTCAACCTTTTGATGGTTTTTTTTAATTCCTCAGTTCAACAAATGGTAAGTACAATGGTAAACCGACTTGGACATATATGCCATGCTTTGAAACAGGATACTCGTTGATACTTATTCATGTAACGAAGAAGACCGATAAATTAGATTAAAATTTATTTTCCATTGAGATTGACTAAAATCTAAATTTTCAGAAATTATAATCAGTGATAATCGATTAAAGTTGATTATAAACGATTGAAAATTTCTGATTATAATCGATTATAATTTTGATTTTGTTGCAGAATAATCGGATTTATGATTTTGATTATGCCCATAGGATTTTGAAATATTAATCGATTTTAATCGGTTAAATTTTTCACTGAGATTTTCCATTGAAATGTAGGATATCTGCCATAGATGAACACCTCTCACAATTGAACACTTCAAAAGTCCTGCGGATATTCACTTAAGGAAGGTTTTAACTGTATATCTTTCTTTTATATTATAAGGTTCTTATACCTTTTCAAAATTTCACAGTATGTATATACTTCCTTACCCTTAGATTTTAATATGTTCTCTACCAAAGTGCGTACATTATCGAAATAAAATGGTCTAATTACTATGAGAAAAAATAATCATTTTTTCTCATAGTAGAGAATAAAATAAAATCTATTCAGATTGAATATCCAATAATAATAATATGAATGAACTGCAGATTGTTTAAGAATGAAGCTTGTAATCATATTAATAAAAGAATAATTGAATGGAAATCGATTATATTTACGAATAATCTTATTTAGTTATAAGAAAATCAATTCTTTTTCTTATTCACAAGCAAAAAAGATTTGAACAGATCAATAGAGATATAATAAATAAACAAATTTAATTCAATAGAATCATAACATCAACTGAAGGCTATTTTTCATCAGAATTTCGTAGTAAATACACAGAAAATCAATCAAAAATTATCAGATGTTTTTCATGTGCAATGAAACTGCTCAGTTGATTTTTTATTTGTCTTTGTTTGTGGTTATATTCTACTTTGTTTCTAATCCAACGATTTTATTTTTATTTTTCTATTTGAAAGAAAAACCTAAGTAGTTTATAGACCTCTTCCTTCATTTGATTTGCAATTGATGAAGAAATAAAAGTATATTATTATATCAATATTGAGTAAACGTATTAAGATAACTGATAGGAAGCACTTATCATTGGTATCTTGTCTTTCTATATCACTTATTGTCAAAGATTATTTAACAAGGCAATGGA